TTCGGTAGTATTTTTGATGAGGAAAAATACAAGAGAGTACTTCATGTGTGCGCTCTTGAAAAGGATTTGCAGTTATTTCCTAACGGTTTGTATGATTTAATCAAAGATACTCTCAAATCATTAATAAGTAATTTGTCAAATAATTAGGCGATCAGACAATAGTCGGTGAGAGGGGTGTATCGCTAAGTGGTGGCCAAAAAGCACGTATCAATTTAGCACGAGCTCTGTACTGCGATGCCGACATCTATTTACTGGATGACCCGCTCAGGTATGTCTTTCAAACAATTATTGATTGTTATAATAATTAAATGCTATCCAATACTACCAGTGCTGTGGACGCAGCCGTTTCTAAACACATCTTCGAGAAGTGTATCCGAGGTTATCTGAAGGACAAAGTGGTACTACTGGTCACCCATCAGCTCCAGTTCATCCGAAACGCCCACAAAATACTTGTGCTCAAAGACGGGAAGACACAGGCGCTGGGAAATTACCCGCAATTAGTGAACGCCGGCATTGATTTCATCAAAATGAGTGGCGACGAGAAGGAAGAGAAGAAGGAGGGCGGCGCCGACGTGGCCAGGAGTGGGTCGGTCAAGGGTCAGAGCTCTCGCGTGGGTCGCGCTCAGTCGGTACAGTCGGCGGCGTCTGTCGAGGACGAGGAGCTCCAGGCCTACATCGAGGGAGAAAAGGCTCAAATCCAAAGAGGCGAACAACAGAGGATGGGATCCGTGAAGGCGAAGATCTATTGGCTGTACGTGAAGAGCGGCGGCGGCTTCTTCCTCCTCACGATCCTCATCTGCTCCAACATTTTGACGCAATTCCTGTTCAATGGCAGCGATTACTTCCTGTCCCTCTGGACCGATAAGGAGCGCAATGAGCCCAACCTATACGACTGGGTGAAGGAGATGGACAGAAACCATATGATCATCACATTTGCCGTACTCGTGATCGCACTGTTCCTGTTGTCGCTCGTGAGGACCACCGTATTCTTCACGATATGCATGCGCTC